TTTGATATTAATTTTAGTGATGTTTCTAGCAGCAAAATTTAAGCCTTTATTCACAGTTCTATATTTCAACATTGCAATCACCTACTCTTGAATCAACTTGCTCACTGCCGGTATAGATATAACTTTTATAGCTAGAAATGTCACTAAAATGGCGTTACTCAAAAATGTTGAAATTGAAGTTAGCCATTCTGTCAACTGAAAGGCTCAGAGACTGAAGTTATGGGGTTTATAAAACTATATTTTTATTGCCTACCGTCGATATAATAAATAAACTTTTTGTAATTTTAATGGTCTTAATGATTTGTTATCTGTAAGCTTTAAGCTTTAGCTCAGTTTAAAATACACTTAAAAAAATTTATAATAGCCCAACATAGCCAGAAAATAATTTCTATTCAAAGTAGAGCTTTAAGTGAAAGTTTTATTTTGCTCGCACCAGATTTTTAACGTTTATGTTTCCTGACATATTGGTCGGGGAAAACTATCATTAAATAGAGTAAAGTCAGGGAATTTTATTTCGATAGTTATGTAGCCACCCTGAAATCGCAAACAGAGTAGGAGATAAGAAGGAACCCTGAGGGACACCACGATAGAGGAGGTTATCTGAGAAGAAGGTTGATCTGGGACAACTACATACTGGGATTGATCGGAAAGAAAGGATTTGAACCATCACAGACCACTGTTGGATAGAGGAAGATTTTGCAATTTTGTAAGATGGATGTTATGGTCAACTGTATCAGATGCTTTGGAAAAATCTAGAAGAATGATAATGGTAAGGTTTTGGTGTTCAATAGAGTTTTGGAGGTCATAGATTATTTTAAGGAGGGCAGATTGCGTTGAATAGCTCGGTCCAAAGCCAAATTGGAATAGATTGATGAGAAATCGTTGTTATAGGAATTTGGAAATTTGGGCGCTCCAGCGGTTTTGAAATGGAAAGGAGAGAAATAGGACGAAAGTCGTTCAGTGAGGACGGGTTAGATATTCTATTTATATAAAGGAATAGGGAAATACGAAATTTTGCTATGAAGAGTTGTAGATATATAATGCTACTCTCTTCATCTGTCTATAACATATTTCTATCACCAAATAATGTTTCCATCAGTTGATTGTTATATTTTCAAAGATTTTGTATCTTCCTTATTTACTCCTTCAAAATAATAAATTAAATAAATGTTTACTTCTCTAACTCTTATAATAGCTATACATGCCTAAACAGAACCAATGATTCTTTTGTTATTACTTTATTTATTTATGTTTCTGTATATACGGCATGAATGTACTCTCTGAACTCAATTATAAGTATCCTTAAAAAAATTCTTATAAGCATGTTTTTGGAAACATTAAGATGAGAATTAGCTTAACATTTTCAAAATTTCATTCATTTTATTTACAATCTTTGTATGTACTTGATGTAAATGTTTTGATTATTTCAATTTCAATCTTATAGTTGTGAAAAGTCATCTTTCCCCCTCCAATCAACCCTTTTTCCTTCCCTCACCTCTCCTTCAAAATGTTAAAATGAATACAAATTTACTTCACTGAATCATATAAAACAGGTCATATCATAATTATTGATGATATGACGATAATTTCATCTGATCATAAATGAAAAATAGCTTACAATTTTCAAGTTCGACATATTTCTAAAACTTTGAAATCCTGTATCTTAAAATATATTCTTATTATAATATTATAAAATATATTATACTTACCGAACCTGTTATAGTCTTAAATTGTAGCTTGTTTAATATGGTTTAAAAATGTTTAGATTGCTTTTTTTCGTAAAGATGCTCCTTCATGGTCAAAATGGGAAAGAACGAAAAAAGTGCTAAATTGTAGCAGTTTTGGAGATTTTCAAAAGTGATCCGAAAGGGTGCCGAGGTCGAAAACTTAGATTTTGCATCTCATTCACATCCCATACAAGATAAAATAAAAAACCTTCTACACCCATTCGATGCAATTTAGACCGCCCCTTTCATGGCAAGGTTACCGGGTTATTTGTGGCGAACGCATTTTGTTCTGCGCCTCGCGTAGCAATTACGTCTTTAACTTCATTGATTCTACCTCGAGAATAGAAGTCATCTAATCGTTTAACTTAGTGAACAATGTTCAAAGAAGAAGTATTTAGCGAAGTTTCTTCACTAAAAGCTCTCAAATTTTATTGTATGTGATGTATGTGGCTGCCACAGGAGGCGCCGATAAAAAGTTCGTCAAGGTGGAGTGGCAAGACGAAGATCGCCAAACTTTGGGCAATACAATATCAATTTTATGATGTATTTTCTAGTTAACCTAAATCAGCATACATCTGAAGAGCCAAGTAGTGAAATAAAAGAGAGAAAAGAAGACCCTTCCTCAGATTACGACAAAGTATGCCACTCCATCTGTGGATTGAGTTTCAAGGGTAAGGTCTCGGAACCCATATAGTTAAGAAGCATCCAGGTATGGAAATGACGCTAGAATCAGGAGCTTAGTAATAAAGAAAGTGGGAAAAATAGAGAGGAAAAATGATTAAAAAAAGAAATAACCAAATGGTCGGCTACTTTTCAGAAATTTGTTCGGCAAAACAATGTGGAATCCGACGAAGCTGTGGGGAGTTTGCCATAATAATCTGGCACGTCGTTTGGTGTGGATTATGTCTGATGAAGTTTTGGAGTAAATTATTTTTCTTAGGGTTTCTTGAGGAATGATTTGCAGAGGAGTCCATACTGCTTGTTGAATGGTGGTGGTGGAGGAATTTACGGCATTGTCAAGGTCTTCTGGAGTTTTCGAAGTTATTCTGAGGTCAATTATATCGGAGAGGATTTAAGGAAAGAGTTTCCAGATACCTGGGCCTCTGATGAAGGATGGTGGAGGAGTGTAGGAATAGGAACTAGAGATAATAAACTATGATGTGAGGAAAGTTTATTAAGTCTGGTAAGGAAATGATTGAGGGAACCCAAACAACTGTGGATACAAAAAATCGAAGATATCAGGATTGCGGTTAGGATCAGTGGGCCAGTGGGTAGGTGAGTTAAAAGAAGGAGGCTGAAACATTCGGAATTGAGTCCAAGCAGCAATCATCTACCACTAGAATTCATGGTTCTTGAACCCCGTTCTTGGCGTTTTAATCTGCATCCAGGATGAAGCACTGTACTAAGGAGTTAACTAAACTATATATTGGATATGGGTGTGTTAGGAAAACAATATGCTTATGCCAGGGTGACGGAGAAGATAAGGTTTTGGTTATAATGGCGGTGGATTGTAGGAAATCTTCAGTAGGTAATGGGAGTGAGGAGGACCGACGCTCGAAAGAAGACCGAGGAGAGAAAGACACCAAAGGGCAGGAAGAAACAGAGATCTCAGATTCAGCTAAAAGTATTTCAAGAAATGAGCCCGATATACAATGGTAAAGGGTGAAGACTAAAAAGAAAAAGAATACTACTAAAAAGCAGAAAATCCGAATAAGACCTGCTCGCCCAAATGTTTTGGTGGTCACAGCAAAGGAGGACTCGACATATGCGAATATCCTGCGCACAATAAAAAGCGATCTCGAAGACATACGATAACCTGCAAAAATACGAAAATGTATCTTGTGCACGAAAGTGTACGGGTAGTCTCCTTCTTGTATTAGATATAGACTCACAAGAAAATAGGGAACAAATTCGTACTGATATAGCAGAATAAATGACTGACAAAGCGCAGGTCACGAGCAAGAGAAATTCTGTTGCTTTTGAATTGAATGACCTCGATGAACTGACCCTGGCTGAAGAAGCGCACAAAGCTCTTCAAAATCAAATTAAAAGTGCGAAAAACATTGAAATTTCTGGTGTAAAGTCACTTCTCAAGGTTTGCAGGGGCACACAGACAGCAGTAGTCGTATTGGCTATGGAACTAGCAAGGAAAGCTATAAAAAAGGGGAACATCCGAGTTGGTTGGATAAACAACCGGGTAAGGAAAAAAAAATTCTCCACAGAGATACTTTCGATACTTTGACTACAGTCACTTGACGAAATATCGCAAGGGACCCGACAGAATAAACCTCTGCGATGTGGCGGAGTACGTCATCCAGCAAAAGGGTGTACTGCCGAATCGCAATGCACGCTATGCTTTGATAGATGAAACCGAAAGCACCCGACGGTTTAGTTTCCCATTCTACCAGCGAGCAGTTGAAGCAGATACTAAGCGCCAGAAATGAGGTTTTTACAGATTAACCTTAACCACTGTGAAGCTACCCAGGACCCCTGTTGGAAAACTATCAGTGAGAAGGACATCTACGTTGCTTTACTATGCGATCAGTATAGATACGTCGATGGGCTACTGCATGGATTAGTAGATATACCAGTAGGAGAAGCGAATGTCTTCTTGACACGTTCGTTTCTCTTGGTGTTTCCAGAAGAACACCTCAATAGTCGATTTGACTTTTGTAAGTGTAAACCATTCAGTTTGTCAGTGACCGATATACTGATAGTGATCATCAGACCATCTGCTTTGAAGTCCTTGCCTTAGTTGTGTGACTTTTGATGGTTGCACTTCGTCTTATGAAAGATTCCCCCCTCCCACCTAGAAATAAAAAATAAAACACACTTTAATTTGTTCTGTACCATTTCGTGGGACTTGGTTATTTGACTCAGGGAGCCATGTATTTCCGCTGATAACTCATTCGAAAATTTTCACGATCGCAATACTTACCCATAATATATATTACATATACAGACAAGTGAACGCCAAAATTATTTACACTATTTTAATTGTTTAACTGTTAAAAAATAAACATTAAGTTGCTAATTGATGCGCATTATTAACATCGTCTCTCTTCAGAATAAAAGAGAAAATATCACTGCCTCCGCCATCATTGATTTCTGATTCATAATCCGCTTTATTAAAAATTACATTTTAAATGTTTTCAAGAACGTCTTTCATTTTAAACCATTTGATTTTATCATCTCCTAATAACATTTTTTCTGTGATCCCTCCCTCTCCCCCAGTCAACCTAGTTTTGATAGGTATAAACGAAAATCTCCTTTAAATTGCCGAAAATTTTATTTTTAAAAATTTATTTATTCATCTCTACCATGCCTTTCGGTTACAAGAGTTTTGTAGAGGTGGCATTGAGCATTATGCCATTTCTACTATTGAACATATAAAGTATACATATGCATGATACAAAATATTTTAAATCATATAACCATATAAAGCATTGTATTTTACAAAACAACAAAGCCAATTGTCTTCAGGAAGATACTGGTTCATGAGGGTAGTAGCATCTTCTGCTTCAACTTAGTCTTCAGACGACCTTCCAGAAGCGGCCTCCCTCTTCTTCCTAGATTGAAGTGTATCTGTTCCAGTGCTGATTTCCACCTGTTCACAAAATCTTTCTAACACGAGAAGTTCTGCTCCGTCACTACCTGAGTGAAGTCTTTCTCTGTGAAAAAAAGAGATCGGTGTTCCTGTGTAGTCCGGACCTCAGTACATCAAAGACAGTACAGTTCACAATGACATGTTCAGCCTTCTCCGATACTCCACATGTGGGGCTTAGAAGATCTATTATTTTCCAAGACTATGGAGCTTGGCCCATAAACCTCCATACCTTGTGCAGAATTGTGACTTGTAGTCCGGGAGAACTCATTTCGCTTCCAAGGAGTTCCGAACGATAAATATTTCATGAGAGACAAGTCAACTAAACGCGAATTTTTAGTTGACATATCTCTTTGCTATATCCTTAACATTCGCTTCTTCATAATTTGGTTTCTCATGACTCTAAAAACTTTCGGTGACCATAGTGTTTCTTTACCATTCTCTGGACAAGTTTCGTGGCTGAGTATCCTTCATATTTCTTTCTATATTCTTCGGTTCTACTATTGATAATTTCAATGATTCCAATCAATATTTCAATTTGTTCATTTATGTGATTTCTAGCTGAAGTGTTCCCCCGTTTTATCGAAATTTCCGATAAACACTCTTTGGTTGTTTAGGAAACCTTTTGCTTCGTGCGATAAACTATCTTCAAGTCGTTCATTGGTTTTAACTTCGGTATCAGATGACCTATTCCTTGATGTTTTGGCAGAAACATTTTGGGGATTCTTTCTTCAACAATGTTGTTCTACATTTTAATTTCTTTCTTATCAACCTTATTGCGCCAAGAGTATTGTTAAGTAACTGTTAAATCAATGGTTAATTTATTAAATCTTAGGGATAAGCACTTGGCTAACTAAACGTGCAAAATTTTTTCAAAATCCCCAAAATTATTTTAAAAATATTACATATGTTTTAAAATACAAAAACTGAAAAGAAAAAAAATATCACTAACAAAAATGAACAAAATAATATAACACAGTGCGAAAGAAAGCCTTATCGCCTTATCTGTATCGATCAGCCGAAATTTCACTCCCAAAAGTGAGTATTTGAGTCGCGTCTGAGCAGCCTAATCTACTACTTTGGATTGGCAGACTATGTTTTCTTTGACTCTTAGGTAACCTAGTTTTAATATGTATAAACGAAAATATGTTTAAAATGGCACGAAATTTTAGTCCAAAACATGTGGTTTGATTTGCGTCTGCTCGGCGTAATCGACCACTTTGGATTGGCAGATTATGTTTTCTGCGACCTCCAGTCAACTTAATTTGGGGGCATAAGAGAAAATTTGCTTAAAATGCCCTAAAATTTTTTAATTTTTGATAGCTTGAAATGCTTCTAAACCTTAAATCGGCCTGGTAGACTAGGATCATCGTATTACCTAAAAGGTATTACGAAGGTAATATCAGTCTGTCAGGATAAAAAGTTGCTTAAAATATACCAACCTTTTCGGCCCTGGCTCCAGGTCTATCATAAGAGAAGAGAAAAATGGGTTGATTTGAGGCAGATTTTTAATTATTTTTTCTTTGTGTTAAAGAAAAAATAAAAGGATTTCACATCAATATTGATTTATATTCAAAACAAAAAAATCACAACATAGGGACAATTTATGGTTTGTAGAAAATCATACAAGTATTAAAATTAATGTTGACTTTATATGTACTTTCATGCAATGATTGGTATTGGCATTCCAAATTTAGGACCACCACGTAATAAAAATCTGTTTTTAAATCTGGAACCAGTAGGTTTTAATGTTAAAATATTAGGTCTAGTAGTTTGTGTTCTGGATGTACCACGATAGTAAGGCATACTGCTTTTTATATATCTATTGGGTATACAACCCAAAGATTCGCAATATTGCGCTGCTGCAGTAAGTATCGAAGATGCACACACACTAGGGCATCTTGATCTTGAGTTTGAAATCTGAGAAACACTTGATTGGGAAGGTAATCGAGTTTGGGAATCAATTGTGTTTATTGCCAGTAAAGATGAATTTTGAGGACTTGTATTTGGGACATGTATTGATGGGGAAGTTATTTGATGTTGGCCATATATTTTTTTGATTAATAGGGAAAGCAATGGAGTTTGGGGTTCGGTCGTTTGTAACGGAGAAGGGTAGCTTGAAAAGCCTGAATTAGTAGTTGGTAATGACATGAAGGGTCTCATATAATTTGGATTAGTATTTTGTGATGGCGAAGGGGACCTTGAAGAGCCTGAATTAGTAGTTGGTAATGGCATGAAGGGTCTAATATAACTGAAATTAGTATTTTGTGATGGGGAAGGGGACCTTGAAAAGCCTGAATTAGTAGTTGGTAATGGCAAGAAGGGTCTCATATAATTGGGGTTAGTATTTTGTGATGGCGAAGGTGACCTTGAAAAACCGGAATTAGTAGTTGGTAATGGCATGAAGGGTCTCATATAATTGGGATTAATATTTTGTGATGGCGAAGGGGATCTTGAAAAGCCTGAATTACTAGTTGGTAATGGCATGAAGGGTCTCATATAATTGGGATTAGTATTTTGTGATGGCGTGGTTAGCATTGAAAAGCCTGGATTAGTAGTCGTTAATGACATAGAAGGTGTTATATAATTGGGATTAGTATTTTGTGATGGTGTGGGGGGCATTGAAAAGTCTAGATTAGTAGTTAGTGATGATAAAGATGGTGTCATATAATTCGGATCAGTATTTTGTGTTGGTGTAGGAGGCATTGATAAGCCTTGATTAATAATTGGTAATGACAAAGAGGGTGTTATATAAGTCGGATTACTATTTTGAGATGGTGTAGGAGGCATTGAAAAGCCTCGATTTGTAGTCGTTAATGACATAGAAGGTGCTATATAATTGGGATTAGTATTTTGTGATGGTGTGAGGGGCATTGAAAAGCCTGGATTAATAATTGGTAATGACAAAGAGGGTGTTATATAATTCGGATTACTATTTTGAGATGGTGTAGGAGGCATTGAAAAGCCTAGATTAGTAGTCGTTAATGACATAGAAGGTGTTATATAATTGGGATTAGTATTTTGTGATGGTGTGAGGGGCATTGATAAGCCTGGATTAATAATTGGTAATGACAAAGAGGATGTTATATAATTCGGATTACTATTTTGAGATGGTGTGAGGGGCATTGATAAGCCTGGATTAATAATTGGTAATGACAAAGAGGGTGTTATATAATTCGGATTACTATTTTGAGATGGTGTAGGAGGCATTGAAAAGCCTGAATTAGTAGTTACTAATGACAAAGATGGTGTCATATAATTCGGATTAGTATTTTGTGATGGTGTAGGAGGCATTGATAAGGGTGGATTAATAATTGGTAATGACAAAGGGGGTGTTATATAATTAGGATTACTATTTTGAGATGGTGTAGGAGGCATTGAAAAGCCTGGATTAGTAGTTACTAATGACAAAGATGGTGTCATATAATTCGGATTAGTATTTTGTGATGGTGTAGGAGGCAGTGATAAGCCTGGATTAATAATTGGTAATGACAAAGAGGGTGTTATATAATTCGGATTACTATTTTGAGATGGTGTAGGAGGCATCGAAAAGCCTCGATTAGTAGTTACTAATGACAAAGATGGTGTCATATAATTCGGATTAGTATTTTGTGATGGTGTAGGAGGCAGTGATAATCCTGGATTAATAATTGGTAATGACAAAGAGGGTGATATATAATTCGGATCACTATTTTGAGATGCTGTAGGAGGCATTGAAAAGCCTGGATTTGTAGTCGTTAATGACATAGAAGGTGCTATATAATTGGGGTTAGTATTTTGTGATGGCGAAGGTGACCTTGAAAAACCGGAATTAGTAGTTGATAATGGCATGAAGGGTCTCATATAATTGGGATTAATATTTTGTGATGGCGAAGGGGATCTTGAAAAGCCTGAATTACTAGTTGGTAATGGCATGAAGGGTCTCATATAATTGGGATTAGTATTTTGTGATGGCGTGGTTAGCATTGAAAAGCCTGGATTAGTAGTCGTTAATGACATAGAAGGTGTTATATAATTGGGATTAGTATTTTGTGATGGTGTGGGGGGCATTGAAAAGTCTGGATTAGTAGTTAGTAATGATAAAGATGGTGTCATATAATTCGGATTAGTATTTTGTGATGGTGTAGGAGGCATTGATAAGCCTGGATTAATAATTGGTAATGACAAAGAGGGTGATATATAATTCGGATTACTATTTTGAGATGGTGTAGGAGGCATTGAAAAACCTGCGTTAGTAGTCCTTAATGACATAGAAGGTGTTATATAATTGGGATTAGTATTTTGTGATGGTGTGAGGGGCATTGATAAGCCTGGATTAATAATTGGTAATGACAAAGAGGGTGTTATATAATTAGGATTACTATTTTGAGATGGTGTAGGAGGCATTGAAAAGTCTGGATTAGTAGTTAGTAATGATAAAGATGGTGTCATATAATTCGGATTAGTATTTTGTGATGGTGTAGGAGGCATTGATAAGCCTGGATTAATAATTGGTAATGACAAAGAGGGTGTTATATAATTAGGATTACTATTTTGAGATGGTGTAGGAGGCATTGAAAAGTCTGGATTAGTAGTTAGTAATGATAAAGATGGTGTCATATAATTCGGATTAGTATTTTGTGATGGTGTAGGAGGCATTGATAAGCCTGGATTAATAATTGGTAATGACAAAGAGGGTGATATATAATTCGGATTACTATTTTGAGATGGTGTAGGAATCATTGAAAAGCCTCGATTAGTATTCGTTAATGACATAGAAGGTGTTATATAATTGGGATTAGTATTTTGTGATGGTGTGAGGGGCATTGAAAAGCCTGGATTAGTAGTTAGTAATGATACAGATGGTGTCATAAAATTCGGATTAGTATTTTGTGATGGTGTAGGAGGCATTGATAAGCCTGGATTAATAATTGGTAATGACAAAGAGGGTGTTATATAATTCGGATTAGTATTTTGTGATGGCGTGGGGAGCATTGAAAAGCCTAGATTAGTAGTCTTTAATAACATAGAAGGTGTTTTATAATTGGGATTAGTATTTTGTGATGGTGTGAGGGGCATTGATAAGCCTGGATTAATAATTGGTAATGACAAAGAGGATGTTATATAATTCGGATCAGTATTTTGTAACGGCGAGGGAGCTATAGAAAAACCTGGATTAGTAGTTGATAATGGCATGGACGGTGTTATATAATTGGGATTAGTATTTTGTGATGGCGTGGGGAGCATTGAAACGTCTGGATAAGTAGTTGGTAATGACATGGAGGACGTTATATAATTGGGATCGGTATTTTTTGATGGTGTGAGGGTCATTGAAAAGTCTGGATTAGTAGTTAGTAATGACAAAGATGGTTTCATATAATTCTGATTAGTATTTTGTGATGGCGTAGGAATCATTGAAAAGCCTCGATTAGTATTCGTTAATGACATAGAAGGTGTTATATAATTGGGATTTGTATTTTGTGATGGCGTGGGGAGCATTGAAATGTCTGGATAAATCGTTGGTAATGACATGGAGTACGTTATATAATTGGGATCAGTATTTTGTAATGGTGTGGGAGGCATTGAAAAGCCTGGATTAGTAGTCTTTAATGACATAGAAGGTATTATATAATTGGGATTAGTATTTTGTGATGGCGTGGGGAGCATTGAAAAGCCTGGATTAGTAGTCTTTAATAACATAGAAGCTGTTATATAATTGGGATTAATATTTTGTGATGGCGTAGGAGGCATTGAAAAGCCTGGATTAGTAATCGTTAATGACATAAAAGGTGTTATATAATTGGGATTAGTATTTTGTGATGGCGTAGGAGGCATTGAAAAGCCTGGATTAATAATTGGTAACGACAAAGAGGGTGTTATATAATTCGGATTACTATTTTGTGATGGTGTAGGAGGCAATGAAAAGCCTAGATTAGTAGGTGGTAATGATAATGTAAATATATTATTGGGATCAGTATTTTGTGATGGCGTGGGGGGTATTGAATCTTTGTGATGATTAGTTTGGTATGACATGGAGATTTTAGGATCATAATGCCTAAACGATAATGATAGAGCCATAGAGTTTTGTGATATTTCAGAATTATTAGTTGGTAATGACATGGAGGGAAATGAAATGTTGGTAGTATTTTCAGGTTTTGATATTGTAGAAAGATTCTTTGGCATATCAACTTTAATTTTATTGTATTTTAATTCAAGATCTAGTGGCATATTGGCTACTGATATTATTCCTTTACTCTGGGGACTCTCGGACGTATAATTAAGTAATATGGGAAGGTCTGGTATATTATCACTTCTTTCATACTTATCACCATTTCCTGGCTCACGGTTTTGACACTTGGAATTAACAGGTTCGCACTCTAAACCAAGTGATATTGAATCTGCTACTTTATGATCTTCAACAGTAACTTCGAGCTTAGAATCACTTGCTGTATAACCGTCTGGTTTATGACCTTTATTATCTTTACTTTCTTCCACGTTACCAGTTCCAACTTCATTTTTAGGAACTTGGGCCATAAAATCGACCGGTTTATACCTTGTATTATCGTTATTTTCTTGGCGTTGACCGATTTTTATAGAGCCTCCTGATTCAGGTTCTTGATGATCAGGGTTAATTGGAAAAGGATCTTCTGAAGTAAGGTTGTTATGTCCACGAAAATCCATCTGTTCCTGGGAAACAATAGGTTGCTGTTAACATATGTGTGAGTTTCATGTTATATTTGTCAATATAATATGATTACATATTTCTTAAGCAATATTATTTATTTTAAGTCGAGTATTAAAACAAGAAAAAGGGAGATGACAAACCACAGGCGTTGATTGTTCCTCTAGGCGTCGGCTCTGCCCTTCTTCCAGAATATTTAAGCCTCCTTCACCACCCGCGTCATATGTTCCTATTTAAATACATTAATGGTTAATTATTATGATATATTTTTGTTAGATATTATTTTTGATTAATTATAAGGTATATTTTATGTATGAAAGTCCCTTCATTTTAAGAATTATATACTAAACACTTACCACAGTCGTGTTTGTAGACGTTCACCAAAAATGGATCCTAGGTTTTTCACTTTAGTTTTAAGAATTTTTACTTTCACTTACGTTTATATGTAATATATAATATGGGTAAGTAAATATATAGTAAAGAAAATTTTCGAATCTCAGGTTTCAATGGAAAAACTCGGTGTTTTGAAGTCCCCTGAATCCAAATAACCAAGTGTCGCAAAATGGTCTGTGGGTGTGTGTGTGTGTTAACAGTCTGGCTCATAAACGAAAAGTAGTACGAAACTGATATTAAGTATTTAAGGTTTATATATGAGCCAGATATGACAGTAACTTTTTCGTTAAAATCGGCTAACCGGATGTACTACTTTATATGAACGCTGAAACACATATTTACGATTTTCTCAAAAACGGCTTTAACGATTTTGATTAAACTCGATATATAATTGTATAATTAAGTGGTCTTTAATATCATTTAGGTCTTATCACCGTTGATGCCCCTGTACATGGTTTAAATGCCCAATGTTCATATATGTCTTCCTATAAAGTATCTTTAATATGGTTTATTTTAAAAAGTTAATCATTTCGCATTATTTAGAGTTACGAAAAGATGCTACATATAACTTTTGAAAGTATTTGATAAGCTAATAAAGGAGAAAAAAAATAAAAATGCAGAAAAACCTGCGTTGCTATAGACTGTAGCCCCTTAACGAATGTACCGATTTCAATGAAACTTTGCTAAATTCATTTTCTCGACACCCTTTAAATTTATCTTTATAACATACTTCAACGAAAAGAAGCTGTAAACGAAATTACGAGGGATGGTAAAATTAAATTCTGAATAACTCAAAAAGTATAGACTTCTTCGTGGATATTTTATATGTTTTTTTAAAAGTTTATGGAATTTCCTAAAAAAACAAAACAAATGCGTTAAAATCGGACAATTAGGAGGAAAGATATGGTCTCTAGTTTTTTCCCCTGAAGAGGCGAAAATTTGTATAAATTTAAAATATACTTTTTTAATTGTTGAGACTAAAAAAATTTTTTTCTATAAATATTTAATAAAGTATCTTACCTAAGAATATCTTTCATAAGAAATAAGTACCTAAATTTATACGTTTATTCTCAGTTCTATATTTCAACACTGTAATTCCCACCTCCGGAATCAACTTACTCACTGTCTGCATAGATAACTTTTTCAACTAAAAATATCACTAAATTGACATTACTCAAAAATGTTGAAATTGGAGTTAGTCATTCTGTGGTTTATGATTGCAAAGAAAGTTGTGTAGTTTATAAAAGCAGATGGAGTGACTAGATTTTTATTGCCTACCGTCGATATATTAAATAGACATTTTAAAATTATAATGGTCTTAATGACTTGTTATCTGTAAGCTTTAAGCATTAGCTCCGTTTAAAATGCACTTCAAAAAAATTTATAATAGCCCAGCATTGCCAGAAAATAATTTCTATTCAAAGTAGAGCGGTAAGTGAAAGTTGTTTGTTGCGCGGACCAAATTTTTTTTTGTCAAACAACAAACTAAATACAAAATAATTGGACATTATTTTCTCATAGATATTAAGGTTTTTTTTTTTTTTTTTTTGGCTAACCCTCCGAAACTTTTATTTAATAAATTACATATAGAAGTATAACAATACGAATATATACATATAATAAAGTCCTTTCATTGCCCGAGGGTATTTTAAGGATTGGGGATAGCTAAGGGTAACATATGTGGCGCAAGGCCTTGTAAGTTTCATTGAACGGGGAGGGACCGTTCTGCTAATTATTTATTATTTACAATATTTGCACTTTTTACAAATATATATATTAATGGGTTTGGACCGCAGAGTCGAGACCACAACCTTCGACGAGTATGTCCACCAAGGGGAGTTTACTCTGCCACTTCCCAGATCTGGCTGGTGGTGAGATCTCATTAATTTCTGGGTTTGAGTAGTCTGTACCAAGTCGTACGACGATAGATCGTCCGCTGAGGTAGCTTCGGATCAGTCGGCATAGAGTGGCAGGAAACCTGAACCTTCCAGAAGGCGAAGTAGATGCGTATGGGACACGCAGTCTAAGGCCTGGCTGCAGACCAGAGAGATGAGCGCCGTAGCTCTGTTGAGACTCATTTCATTTATTGTGTGAGCCTGAAGTTTAGCTAGGTGGTGTTCACACGCGACCCCTCTCTGAAAACCAGTCTGCTCTGGTGGTATGATGCTCTCTTTCCAGCAGTGCTTCATAAGGTGATGGTGGATTAGCCTCTCGAAAATCTTGTTGATGTGCGAGAGGAGGCTGATCAGACGATAGTGCTCAGCTGAGTCTCCGTTCTTCACCGGCTTGAGTAACGGTATAACGATTGCTTGTTTCCAGGCGCTAGGAAAGTATGAGATTCGAAGACATGAGTTGAAGATGTTCAGTAGAAAAGCTATATCCTTCCTAGGTAGCATCTTCAGCAGTACGTACGGAATCTCATTCAGTCCAGACGCTTTGTTTCCTTTGGTGCGCCGTAGTGTCGACTCCAGCTGGTTGAAGGTAGAGAAGACGGGATCATCGTTAGGACTGGCAGTCCTTCCTGTATTGGTGGTGCATTTCTCGTCCGCTCAACATCCCTCGCTTCATAGCTTTTGGCCAGGAGTTCAGCCTGTTCCTTACGTTTCAGCAGCTCATTCCCCGACGTCAGGTGGACAGTCTTCTTCTTGTTAACGAACGTTCGGACCAGTCTCCAGAACTGGCGGTGGTCATCATGTTCCCCGAAGCTGGTCATGCCAGAGTGAGGTCTTCCAGTCTCGCATGAGGCTGGCTATATGCCGAGTCATCGCATTGATGGCCGGTTTCAAGTTGTAGTCACGCGTGCGCTGAAAGATTTTCCTCAGGTTGTTCCTCTGACTGATCAGGGCGAGGATGTGAAGTGGTGGTCTCCTGATGGCGTTGGGCTGCGGAGCGAACCTTGGGATGTTTTGGTTGGCTGAGTTCTGGACAATGATGGTGATGACATCCACCGCCTCATTCACCTCTTCTACTGTCCGGCACGGCGTTACCGCCGGCAAGTGGCTTCAACGCATGACCTGTATCCTTTCCAGTGGGCCTTGTGGAGTAAGTATTTACTCGCCGGAGGTGTGGCGGGTGTGCCCTCGGTCGTGTAAAGCACAGGCCGGTGATCCGACGGTCCATACGGAAGCACTTGGCAATCCGTAATGGTGTGCAGATCGCTGGTTAATAGCTGGTCCAGCGTTGATGTCCAATCAGGTCGGGCTGAATGCCGGAAAGTGTGTACACTTAGGTGGAAAACGGCTATCCTAGTCTTGGTGATGGCTACGTTGGTGGATTGTCGCTACCACACAGCCAGGAAGAGTGTCGACCATTGAAGTCTCCAAGGACTACATGCCGACTCGTCACCTGTGCATGTTGTAGCAGCAGCTTAATAGATGTCAGTCCAGCCCTGGGTCTCTTATAGACACAGGTGATGACATCCACCGCCTCATTCACCTCTTCTACTGTCCGGCACGGCGTTACCGCCGGCAAGTGGCTTCAACGCATGACCTGTATCCTTTCCAGTCGGCCTTGTGGAGTAAATATTTACTCGCCGGAGGTGTGGCGGGTGTGCCCTCGGTCGTGTAAAGCACAGGCCCGTGATCCGACGGTCCATACGGAAGCACTTGGCAATCCGTAATGGTGTGCAGATTCCTGGTTAATAGCTGGTCCAGCGTTGATGTTCAATCAGGTCGAGCTGAATGCCGGAAAGTGTGTACACTTGGGTGGAAAACGGCCATCCTATTCTTGGTGATGGCAACGATGGTGGATTGTCGCTACCACACAGCCAGGAAGAGTGTCGACCATTGAAGTCTCCAAGGACTACATGCCAACTCCTCACCTGTGTATGTTGTAGCAGCAGTTTAATAGATGTCAGTCCAGCCCTGGGTCTCCTATAGACACAGGTGAACGTGAATCGACTCTTAAGTCGCACGTCAACTGGGAGTAAGTGAGTTCCCTCGGTTGGTTCCATTGGATTCGGGACTGACCTTGAAAGTACATCCTTTCTGACCAGGATGGCTACTCCCTCTCGAGACCCTGGTGCACACACCTCTCGGTATATAGTGTACCTCTGGAAGTATGGAGTCTAGGTGTGAAGCATGGTGTCTGTCAGCGCCACTACTGAAGGTCTATGCTGCTGAAGAAGGAGCTCGATTTCAGACCTGGAAGGAGGCCTGCTTCTGGAAGAGGCCTCTGGTGTTAAAATTCATGACGAGATGATTAATCAAGATGCTTCTTCGTCATAGCATCTAGCATGCGGGCAACTATATCCATCAGCTTGTCCATTCTTGTCAGCATCGTCATCACCAGAGTAGTCAGGGAGGCATCGGTGCTTGTTGAAGGCTGAGGCGATTGTGTTGCTGAAGTCTGTTCCTTGGACTGGTGGTGGGAAGAGGTTCCTTCTGATTAGACCAGCGCTCCTCCGCTTGCTGTGCTGTAGTCCAGGCCCTCCTGGACCCACTTACTCTGTTTTCTGGTATTCGTTTTCGACGGTGTTTCTTCGGTGGTTTCCCGAATTTTCTTTACCAACTCCTGTCTCTTCGAGAACTCTTTGGAGGAGGTGTGGTGGACACCTTTACAGTTTCTGTACCAGGGAGGTACTGTCTTCGGGCACTGTTCAAGGGTATGGACACCTCCACACCAGAGGCACGCACATGTTCGGCCGCAATATTTCATAGTGTGTCCATATTCTTGACAATTTTGGCACTGTGCTGGGGCTCCATCTTCTTTAAAGATGCTCACACGAAATTTACACTTCGATATGTGATACAGTTTAGCGATGTCTGTCAGCTTGACCGAGTCGTCTGTAATTATCTGGATCAGCTCGATAGGTCTTGGTGGTTCATTCGGGTTATATCTCTTTGCGAGTCTTCGGGCGAGCCTGAATCCAGGTAGTCTGGCTTTCAATTCCTCGACTATCTCCTCGACGGAGAAATCAATATCAAATCCATGAAGCACATATTTTCGAGATCGCTTAGTGCCTCTGGGAGCAAAACTGTGAAATTGTACCCTATTGTCCTGGCGCAACAGTAAAGTGGCTTGAAAATGGTCACTCTCGGTTTTGACATACAGCCGAGTTTCTTTTGATGAATAATTGATAGTGAATAATGTTATATTATTAGGAACCGACCAGCGCGGTTAAACACTTTCTAAGAACAGCAACACGACAAGCGTGGGACCAAATCTGGGCGTCATCAACAAAAGGCAGACACACTTACGAATACATTAAACATTTAGGAGAAAGAATCAAACTTAAAAAAATTATCACCTAAACTAATACAATTTTTGACAGGACACGGAGCAGCCAAAAGCTATTTATTCAGATTCAAGTTAACTGACAACAAAATTTGCAAATGCGACGGCAACAGTGAGCAAACATACGACCACCTCCTATATGACTGCACTAGACTGGATAAATACAGATACAAATTGGTCTCTGCTGTCATGGTGAACGGAGACCAATGGCCTCCTTCAAAGAAGGATCTGATTGAAAAATATTTCTCAGAATTTGATGCATTTGTGGAAAGATTTGATTTCTTTGAGCTTAATGATCCAACGGCTGCCTAACCACCCCTCAACATTTTCTACATCAGTTGTTTTACCAAATCGTACATACTCTGTAACCCTCAGTTTTTATCCTAAATCTTTATCCTTTGTTTTTATCCTACCATATCACATTTCTGCTGTAAATATTCTACTTTTCACTATCTAATCTCTAATGTATCACTGTTGTTTATTATTTCAGTTTTTTTTTTGTTTTGTTTTTTTCACGAACAGGCCTTAAAGACCACGCGAATACCATGAAGTTAATGCTTCCTCTTCATCTGCCTCCTCTTCTCCCATATGCCCCTCATGAGCTCCGCGTGTTTACGTTTTCTCTCCTCAGACCACGCAACACCCTTTTTGGAGCGCTTCTTGCCCGCAAGAACCGTTATTCTCTTGAGCGCCTTTCTGTACTCATCTCTGCCTAAAAAATCTTGGTCTCTTAGCCCCACTTGGTCCATATCATCCTTAATCTGTTTAAAATACCCGCTTACATTCTTATGACTGTGGATGCGCTGAAAGATTTTATGGTTAAGTCTTTCAGGATTCATCCTTATCATATGGCCATAGAACCTCAGCCTTCCCACTCTAACGTCAGTTTCTAGATCCGTTGTTTCTTTATATATTTCCTCATTTGACCTCAACCTGTATCCTTCAGGTGTTCTTCTAGGCCCGTATATTCTTCTGAGAATTATTCTTTCTATTTTCAGAAGGCTTTCTAGGCTGGGAAGACAAGAAGTTTCTGTTGCGTAGAGGTACCACTGGCTTGACGACCGTGTTATAATGTCGTATTCTGGCTTTTAGAGATAAGTTCTTCTTTTTATAAAGCTCACTGGTGGCGAAGCTTAATTTCTCGATTTTGGCGATTCTTTCCTTAAACCCTTCTCTCTCTGACCCATTGCTGCATATGATTTCTCCGAGGTATTTAAATCTTTCAAATAAATAAAATAAATAAATTTGCAATCGATAAAAATAAATTAAACTACAAAATGCTCAAGGAAATTAACTTGAACAACATTTAATATGAATTTAATGTTTACGTTTAATTAATAAAGTAGTTGGAACCAATAAATAAATTTTATTTACTCAATATAACGTTAAGAATTCATAACAAAGAAAAGAAGCTGTGAATATCAACTAAAAAGAGCGTTCGCGGACATATCTTCACAGGAGTTTTTTGTTTTGAGGTCCTTAGTTCATTTTTGCACTTTGGCCACTTAACCCTGAACCACCCTGTTTCGTGAATCCGAATAAAGAAGTTTTGCGAAATAGTCTGTGTGTGAATAGCCGAGCTGTATGAAACTAAAATTACGTTTTAGTTATATAACTTGAATACAGCATATTTTTCGTCAATTCAGCTAACCGAAAGTGCATCTTCGATTTTACATTTTTATAGTTTTCTCGAAAAGGACTGAATAATAAAAATCTTTATTATTAAACTTGTTATGAAAACTTATAATTAAGTGTTTTAACCATGAGGTAGATCATTTTTCCTTGATGCCGAATGACAGATCTTTAATTGCGAATTTTCAAAATGTAGAAACTTTTTACCAGGACGAAATGATTTTAAGAAAAAAAAAATCTAACATGCCTATAACACTTTTGATGGGGCTGATCTTTTAAAAACGTTTTCGTGGATTACGATATAATTTGTCGATAAATTTGTCGTAAATAAACTACTCAAAAATTAATAGGGTTTATTATTTATTTTCCTCAGATTTTTTATTTTATTTTGATTATAGAAAGCATTGAAATTAATATAAATAAGCTTGTATTTGACCTCGGGAAATTATATAAATGTGTTTAAAAAAACACAATAAAATGAAAAGTGTAGATGATCTTGATTTTATGATTATGAATTGTAAGACATTTGTAAAATTTAATAATTTTTGTGATACTGTTACGTACTGTATGTAATGTGTGTTACTGTTACGTGCAACTTCTTTGTACCTATTATGCAGGCTGTCTCTTTATAATGTTGTACAAAGAAATTTAAACCCTGAAACATGGTGATACTGCTTCCACCTGTTGTAGTTTAAGAAGCTGCTAGTGAAGGTAATGGAAATATGGATCAATTATAGTCCTCATTTTAGGGATGTACTCCGCTACAAATTCTTGAACATAACAAACTGCAGTGAGATTACAGTCCTCCACTGTAAGTCTAGTCCGTCCTTACATTACATTTCCACCTCCAAACTGCATTACATAGACCACAAACTGAGACAATAAATTCATCCTAGGCAGTAAATGACTAAGAATGGTTTGTGTTAATATGGACCTTGGAAAATATACGCCACTTCATTTAGGTTCCGTCGGACAATATGAAAAAGGCTGCTTCATGCAGTAATAACGATACTTATTTCATCTATCGGTGTCGTAATGCGCTGAGATCCACCAACATATCTCCTATTGGTAATTCCAGTTTCGCGGAATCTGGCTAAAGCCCAGGATACTACATTCATATATATTACATACCTAAAAAATATTATTAAAATATTAAGGCCCGCAAACTTACCAGTACTGCTGCTGACAATAGCCAGGAGACAAATTCGGAGAAGGATTCCTCTCAGATCCATATAAATGTTTTAAACGTTTACTTTTAATCTCTTCCTTGATGAAATAATCCTCTACTCTTCTAAAAATAATTTGCAAAATAATATCTGTAATTAAAAAAATTAAACTAAATTATACGTCCTTTTAGAACAGTTAATAAAGTTTATAATTCTAACCAATGGCTAGGATGCATTTAAATACAAATTAAGAAGAACATAATTTTATTTCTTCTGAGAGAAAAGGTAATTAAATTAACGTTCAGCATAAAAACTTTTAACGACTATGGTTATTCCCATAAATTTTACTTTATTATTCAAACAGAGCATGCTTCAATAAGAATTCAATGGAAGTTTCAATTTAGGAATACTCGTACAAAAATTAGAGAGGATTGTATTTTCAAATTTATATTGCTAGCACAGTAAATGTGGGACTTAATATCAAGAAAATTAATATCTGCTGTAAATTTGGGGATTAGTTCCTCATTGAATGCAGAACGAACCATGAAAAGTCCCCTGATTTTCCTGCTTCTACCCAACTTCTATCCAAAATGGAGTGTCAAAGATGGCCACCCAGCATTTTCGGGGTTATGCGATGTTTTCCTTTATATCTCCGTCAAAAAACATTGTTTTTGAATATTGGAAGTACTAATAGAGTTGAACGGGATGCTTGTTTTGCATTCATTCCAAGTTTTTCTGATAAAAACAATTATGAATGCGCTGTAATTCGATCTATATGATTTAAAAAAAAAAAAACGGAGTTTTCTTGGTTCTCTTTCAGTCATCCCTCTTGATTTCGAGACTATTTATAAATCGAAACTAGTTTTTCGTATATTTTTTGTAGTTCTAAGCATGAGGAATGTCGAGAAAAATGTTGTGGAAATAAATTATTTTAATAAAATGGTCCAGATCTTTGTTTCTTTGTGTTGTTTGGTTTTCGCATGTTCGCAAAAATTAAATATATATATAAGTTAATTATTCAGTTTTATTTTTAAATTGTGCTATTGAGCTATGGGGCTCTACTAAACCATCGAATTCCTCTCGCATCCAATCCTTACAATCCAAAATCCTCAATGCTCCTTACTTTGTCACTAATAAAATTATCCATAAAGATCTTAATGTTCCTTATGTTTCAGATCTGGCCTAATCCAGATACCTATCCTTCCATAATAAACTTCAAAATCATCCCAACCCTCTCGTTTCTAACCTTGCTTCCTCTTCAATTCCTGATTACCCTCCGAGGCGTCTGAAAAGAAGATGACCCCGTGATCTCCTAATGTAGTCATATCATTAGAGTGCTACCATTGGGTAGTTACTCTGCAAGTGTATTCATGTCATTATATCTATTATGTCCAAATTTACTAAATGTTGATGCAAAGTTAAAAGATCCCATTGGCACCGGGACGCGAACTTATCTATCGTTATATCGTTAACTTATTTTATCGTTACATCTTATGAGATTGCCGGGTATCGCGCTGTGCTGTGCACACACGATTAGCCTCCCCGCCCCTTGATGGAGTCAAGGCTAGTGTTGCCCAAATGCCAGACCAAGACGAGTCTATTAGTAATTATTTTGCCTTAATTTTTATTTCCAAAAGAGATTTCTTTTTTTACCAGTCTTGCAATAATTAAGCGGTTTTGGCCTTTGTCTTGCAAAGTGCAAGACCGATTTTGGGCAAAACTAGTCAAGGCTATCTGGATGAATTGTGTGGTGGTTCTTACTCTTCCAGGTACGTTCGTTAAAACGCTGACATTTCTTCATTCCCCTCACTGCTCTCATCAAGTTCAATAATGGAACTTTGGCATTAATGTGATGGACCTGATTTTGATTTGCAATTTTGTCTACCTTCTCATTTCCCGATAAACTTATATATAACGTATAGACTTGTCGGTAATCCGAGGATCGTTCTGTGATTGTGTTTAAGTTGTGTATGTGCTAATAGTTTAAAGTAAATTGATAGATAGCTACTTTTCTTATCAAGTTTGTCAGCTAAATTGAAGGATCTATGGATATCAATTAAAGATTTGGAAATGGGAATTGAGTATTCTAGAGAAGCTCTGGAAATGTGTAGCGATTTCAGAAGAGGCTGTTATTCCTTAGCAATGATGGATAGTTGGGGACAGAAGACGTTTCCACTTCTAATATGCCTACTGGATGTTTACTGTCGGAATAAACTTTGAGAATATATTTTTTATTTAACCATGTCCTTCTAATGTGTAAATGGCTTCTCACCGGCAGATGTATGAAGTGCGTACGCTGAAGACATTTTAAAGGGACCCAAACATAATCTAATGGCATTGTTTTGAGTTGTATTCAACTTATTTATGAGGGAAGATTTCGTTTGATTTTACGCGACGCAGTAAAAATCTAAAGTTGATCTGACTATTGTTTTGCAGAGAATGAGCATTCTTTGTGGGTTAGAACCCCAAACAACCCCAATGGAGTTTAGTATATTGATGTGTAGCGATTGTCGGATATGTTTTATATGATCTTTAAAATTTAGTTTTCTGTCTAGTATTACAGTTAAAAACTTCACTTTTGACATTGTATTTTTCGTTTGAAATTTTCCAAAATCTCTATAATTAATGTTTCTTTTTCTGGTAAAAGGAATAATACTACAATTATTTGGATTATTTTTAGGTTTATTATTGAAAATTTTTGTGCCAGTGTATTCAGTGAAGGCTTCTTTTGAATAGATGGAAAACTGGATGCAAAAGCGTTCTTAAATACCATGCAATGCCATCTAGATTTTTTTTTTTTTTTTAAACACTTTATTCAGAAATATTACAATTTGTCACAGTTTAAGGACACTTATAATAGAGTTCAGAGATTGCATTCATACCGTATATACAAAAATATAAATAAATAAAGTAATAACAAAAGAATAAGAAAAAAGAACAAAAGAGTAAAGAAAAAAAAAAATATATATACACATAAGTAAATAAAAATAGAAATAAAAGTAAAACAAACACCTTATATAAAACATACCTATATACATTATTTACAATTTGCCAGGTGATCTCCGAACCAATCCTGTCCCCTCCACATGTGGAGGGAAAAGGGAGGCTTAGGAGATCCCTACGCTTCTCCCTCAGCCACTTCACTGGTATTTTAAACCAGCGGAGGATGAGTAAGAGCGCTACAGCCACAGATACTCATGACTTGAGTGGAGAATCTGGCCATTGCTAGAACTCCAAAATATCCATATTTACAAAAGGTCTCGTGGCCACTGCCGCTTTAACCTACGAAGGGGATTGTAGGGATGGGTGTTGCTTGATAGGGATTGTACAACGGGATTTGGGTGATGAGAAAGGTTCTGGTGAAATTTGGAAAATTTGGCTGGGATAAGATCAAGAATAAATGGGATATTAAGGTCATGGTGTAGGGTTTTATTGGTTACATAGAAGGGAGCATTGACTATTGTACGGAGGACTTTAGACTGAAAGGATTGAATGCGTTTGATGTTAGAAAATTTGGCTGTTCCCCATAGTTCTAGTCCGTAATTCCAGATGGGTTTCAGTATTGTCTTGTAGATCAGTAATTTGTTTTCACCAGAAAGTTTAGATTTTCTATTCAGTAGTCTATATAGCTGGCCATATCGTCTGTTAAGTTCCTGTCTTTTAAGTCTAGTATGTGGATTCCATGTTAGTCGTCTGTCTAAGAGAAAGCCAAGATACCGGACTGTATCTGAGAAAGGAAGCTGGATGGAGTTAAAATAAACTGGTGGGCAGGTATTACGCCGAAGGGTGAAGGTAATGTGTTTACATTTAGATTCGTTTACCTTAATGCGCCATTTCTTACACCAGTGTTCAATCAGGAAGAGGTGCCTTTGTAAGTTTGCGGACGCTGTTTCAGGATCTGAGTTGGAAGAAAGGATAGCAGTGTCATCAGCGAAAGTTGCCAGGAGGGTATCGGGATGGACAGGAATATCAGCGGTAAAGAGAATGTAAAGGATGGGGCCCAAGACGCTGCCTTGAGGAACGCCAGCCTCAATTGAGTAACAGTCGGAGAATTCAGTGCCACAGCGAACTCGGAAGGAGCGGTCGGAAAGATAGGATCGGAGTACTAGGTATAAGGACTGTGGTAGGTGGATTTTAAGCTTGAAGAGTAATCCGGCGTGCCATACCCGGTCAAAAGCTTGCGCTATGTCCAGAAATGCACCCGAGCAATACTGCTTGCTTTCTAGGGTTAAGGATATATGGTCAACAACTCGGAGTCCTTGTTGGACAGTGGAATGTTGGGAACGAAATCCGAATTGATGAGTAGGAAGGTTGTAGGATTCAATTATAGGTAGGATTCGTTTCAGTAGGATTTTCTCAAAAATTTTTGAGAGGATTGGGAGTAGGCTAATTGGTCTATAGGATGCTGTATTGTTGGAAGGTTTGCCTGGTTTCAAGAAGAGGACGATGGTGGAATGTTTCCATAAAAGAGGGAAGTTGGTAGTTCGTAGGATGCAATTGTATATATATGTAAGAAATATGATGGCTTTAGATGGAAGTTGTCGAAGGATCTGTGGGGTTAGAAGATCATATACAGGAGATTTGCGAGGAGTGATTTTCCGTAAAAGGTATTTGACCTCAGAGGGATTAACAGCTTTAGGTGGTAAGGAGAGTGGGATAGGTATTGAGAGGAATTCTTCTACTTTTACTGTGTGGCTGGGATGGGATTCTGGATGAGAAGCGAAAGTATAGGAAAGGTGTTTGGCAAATTCCTCGGCTTTATCTTCATCAGATGCTGCCCAGGAGCCATCATCTCGTCGAAGAGGGTGGGAAATATGATGGGATTTGAGGATTTTTCTGGTGATATTCCAAAGGGAATTATCATGAGCAGAGAGTGTGGTGAGGTAGGAATTGAATGATTGGAATCTGAAGGTGGCTAATTCTTGTTTTAATTTTTTACAGTGATAATTGTAGGAGTGGCGGTCGGCTGGATGTCTGGTACGTTGCCATAATAATCTGGCACGGCGTTTTATGTGGATTAGGTCAAGGAGGTGTTGAGGTAAATTATGTTTCTTAAGGATTTTTGAGGAGTGATCATGGGAGGAGGCAGTCCAGACTGCTTCTTGAATTTTGGTAGTGAAGGAATGTACTGCATTGTCCAGGTCTTCAGGGGTTTTCAGGGTTACTCTGAGGTCAATTTTATCGGAGAGGATTTGATGAAAGAGTTTCCAGTTAACTGGG